AGCTATATGATCATTAATCTAATATGGGTTTAATGATATATGAATGAGATATGAATGATATAGTAATGATATTAATGATATGAAGTAGTGGGATACCCCTCTGGTAAATTAACCTAACTATGGAAAATCACCATAGAAATAGTGATATGTTATGAATCACCATCAATAGTTTTATGTTAGTTTACCAGAGGGTATATGATATGAATGATATATGAATGATATAGTAATGATATTATGACTAATATACAAATAATATATGGATAATATATGAATGATATATGAATGATATATGTTATCCCACATTTTTTTCTTGGAATGTGGAAGGGTTGCAAATTTTCTCAAAGTCATGTTCCGCATGAGTTTCACGTCGCCGAGCGACACCTTTTCGCCGGGAACGGCACTGAGGCACCAAGGACCACCCAGGCCGTTTGATGCCGATGATCTGTGGCTGAGCTGACGAGAAAACCTTTTTGTTGGGTCAATTTTCACCGTAGATACCCGGTAATTTAACGTAGCTATTGAAAATGGCCATTTATAGTTGATATACCCATTGAAAATGGTGATTTTCCATAGTTTGTTAGTTTACCAGAGGGTAGCATAGATGATTGCTATAGGGATAACTATCCCCAAGCCGAAGCTTTCAGGTCAATGATACTCAATGACGATTTACCCAGAATCTATGGAGAAATGGCATGGTATCCATGGATATTTATGGCTTTGATGAATATTTCCCACCTAAGAGGCTGCTACTACAACTGGTGTCATGGGTCAAGTCCGTTCTCTGAGGCTTCCTGGCCTTCTTTCTGAGTTCCCTGATCGACAACCTCACAGCCAGGTCCTAAGGTGGCTGGTGTTCCAGCGGTGTCAGGGAACCACAGGGAACTGCCGCTTTAAGCATGGTGGTTCTGCATCCCCCGCCGTTGATGAATTCTTTTGAGTATCCAGTACCCTCTGGTAAACTAACAGTTTGCTATGGAAAATGGTCCATAGAAATAGCTGGTTTACCTAGTAAAAATGGTGATGTTCTATAGCTATGTTAAACTACCACAGGATAGATGAATTTAGGGAATAGAACCTCCTCGGAAGAACTGCGGAAGTAGCATTGGCTGACCTGACAGCTAGTTTTTCTGGCATGTGTCAAGAAAGAAATCGGGGCATCATCCAGTGAACATACATGACGCCAGCATAACTTTTTTTAGAACGATGGTGAGGAAATTAATTAATGCAGTTGGACTGTATATACTTGTCGCTTGTCTATGGCTGATGTACATCTTGTGAATCCAATGTGTATCCATTTCAAGGTTGATTAGCAGCGGTTGGTTCTACTGTTAAAGCATTGAAGATCTTCTGTGAGTGTTTCAATTCAAAACCCATGGTTGGTGAAATGAGTTACCAATCACCAAACGACTCTTTCCAAGAAAGTGTTCCTTCAAGATTGTTTTTCAGATTTCCCTGCGGTTTTTTTTTTGGCCTTTGGGTGATTATATTGATCTGGGTAAATTATAACGACCTCACTGTTCTCCCGAACCCTGGAATCATGGTTTATTTCAGGGAAATCATCCCAAAATCACCTTAATTGATATTACGATTAATTACAATACTTTTACAAGATAACCTTACTAGTTAGTGAAATATATAAATTGATTTCAGGTTGTGAAATATTGTAATTTACCCAGATTGATGTTACATGCAGCGGGTCTCTGAGGCCACCATTGTTTGTGTGAAGATCCTTCAGCGAGTCGTGCCTCACCGCCTCCCGGCGAAAGATTAACCTGTCGAGTCTTCAAAGCTGTTGGTTGAATAGGGGATTATACTCATCGCTATATATGGCAGATTATCATTTTTCTTATTTATTATTACTATGAATATATTTAATTAGTATGTATATACGTACATATATATATATATGTTGTCACAATCCATCATTCAGAAAATCCTTGTCAACCAACCAGTATACAGGGACAAAAAAAGGGGTTCTTTTTTGACGTTCTTCATCTCCTAGTGGAAGACGGGCATCATTTCATGGGGAAAATCAATGGTTTCCGGTGAAGATTTCCCCAAGAAAACCAATCGATGGAATCAGTGAATACATACAGACCATCGCGTTCAAGGTGCAAATTTTGGGGGGGCGTCGTCGTGTGTGATTTTCGGGGATGTGTTGGGGTAAATCCGTCCAGTTCTAAGATCCAACAGCCAATTGAAAGCCATTTGAATCAGTTGAATTACCGTACTGGGCAATTGCTCCCCAACGAAAAACTCTGGTGAGACGTATTGGTTCTGGTTTGGTCTTTTGGGCTGGCCACAGGTGGCATTGAAGATTGAATCTTTTCAATATATCCCCCATGTATTGGATTGTTAAAACGGTTAAGCCATCAAAACAACACCCTATAAACTACCTGATTAAATGGAATCCCGATGTAATATGATAATTATAACATAATAGAATTTAATATAATTTAATATAATACAATACAACATAATATAAATTAATATATATATATATATATTTAATATAATATAATAATATTGCAACATATTGCAATCATGTACTCATTTCAGAGGGGTTTAAACCATGTAGGTCCCCAATGGTTCATGACCGCAGGCCAGCAATGGCGCCACGCGTGTGGCGGTCTGGTGGTCGTGCCCGCCAATGCGGGCGGCGCCTGGAGTCCCATCGGGGACGTGACCACCACCATGCTGTGGATCCAGCACAAGGCGGGGGCCACTGGAGGCTGCAACCGGTGAAACCGTGGAACATCCCCCATTTTGTTGGATGACTTGACTGGTAAAATCCAAAAAACATCAAATTACTTTACTTCGTGTGATCCCCACCATGACATTTATACATGTTCTTACTGGCAAATCTTCTGGCATTCTATCTGACATATCTTCTGGCATTCTATTTGGCATTCTATCTGGCATATCTTCTGGCATATCTTCTGACATTCTTTCTGACATTCTTTCTAACTTTCTTCTGCACATTCTTTGTCCCATATCTTCCTACATGAGGTCCGGCAGGGAACACTTGGCATCGATACTCGCGGTTGAGGTCCGGCAGGGAACACTGGGCGTGGATGGTCGTGGTTGAGGTCCGGCAGGGACCACTGGGCGTGGATGGCCGTGGTTGAGGTCCGGCAGGGAACACTGGGCGTGGATGGTCGTGGTTGAGGTCCGGCAGCGAACACTGTGGATCGCGAGTCGCAGCTGAGCAGGAGGACGAGGAGGACAACGAGAGGAGGACGACAAGGATGACAAGGAGAACGAGGAGGAGAGGAGGAGGAGGAGAGGAGGACGAGAGGAGGACGAGGCAGGAGGAGGAGGCAACTGACATAAAATCTAACAACCCTCACCTGGCAGGTGGGGAAAAACCTTGGATTTTTGGAGATATTGGATGATAAGGATGTTGCTGGAATCCCAATTTCTGGTGATGTACCCAGCTCATCCCAGCCCTATCTCCATGTTCCATGTTTTCTGCTGAACTTACAACAGAGGTGCTTGGCGGATATTGATCCCCAACGTATGTTCATCGTTTTCAGGGGGTGGCTCAAACCAACAACCAGTCTATGTTCGATCTGTTTGAAATTAGAGTACCATCCCCATCAGTTGGTTGTAGATATCCCATCATCTGCCCGTCATATCTACCATCAGCCATTCCACAGAATTGCCTTTATCCCATATCATATTTGCCAATTGACTTTCACCTCTTTTTCAAACAAGGTACCACATGGCACCACCAACCAGTTGTTCTTGCAAGTGCAGTTCCAGTGAACTGTTTGTGGATAGATTTCACCATAATTATAGAGGTTATAAGTTCTATATATGTATATATATATATGTATATATATGTGTATATATATATGTATATATATATATGTGTGTGTGAGAATATATTATATACATTTATATATCCCAACTCGTGGCTTAGTTCAATTCCCATGTAGTTTCCCACATATTTCAGCCTATTTCAGGTCTCATCCCTGGCCACCAGAGGTCAGCACCTTCGGTCTCATCCAGTGGCTCTTTTTGCCCAGCTTCGTGGCAGCCTTGGTGCCCTTGCTGGGCATCTGGTGGCAGGCTAGCCGTCAGGAGGCTGAAGAGAACCTTGGATTCGAGGTTGGTTGAAACTTCATGGAGTACTGTTGGGTTGTTTTCCCTTGAAAGCTCTAAAATATGGAGGAATATGATGAATATGCTGGGATGCTGCGTTTTCTTGACTCTGAGAAATTCATTTTTGGACGGGCAAGAAACTCGTTGTTTTCTAGCCGTAAGGGAAGGGGATCACTTGAAAACTTCTCGTTTTGCCTAGCTCTAAGAGGTGTGACGTTGACGATGAGTAGGGGAAGTTGGCCGAAATCATTTGCTGATCTGGTTTGGGAATATTTGGGAAAGATTGCCAGCTGATTACTTTCACTAATTTCTGGGGGGTTTGATAAACCTCCATGTTTTTTGAATATTCACCATTGGGCTTACGGCATTACATGGGTGCCAACATGTAGGGGAATGTTGAGCAGGATTCATAAATCCAAGCTTGATAGCGGGGTTGTACCATGTGGTACCAGTTTTTATACCATGTTATTACTATTTTGTTGGCAACTCCCCAATCAATAGTCGGGATTTCGCAAAATCCGGGGTTGACATTAGTAAACATATGTCTATATAAGTCCTCGAATTCGTTCAAAGAGAAAATCAACAGGACAACATTATTTATGTTTGATATTTCGTGAAACCTTACGTTCCAGTGAAGATGTTCCCGTCAATTCTTCGTTGAAAAAACTCATGGGTGCAACGGCTGATGAAGCTGAAGGCATTCAAAGCAAGAGGAGGTGGCCATTGCCAGCAGCAAATCAGCATCTTTGGTCTTGTTCGTGGGCATGCTGTGCATCCTGGCCGTGCCTTGGCCGAAAGATTTTTTAAGGGCTCAAGGCATCTCAAGGCATCTCAAGGCTTGGCCAATGCCAGGATTCCGAAACAGTGTGCTATTTTTTTTGGTGTGTGTATGTGTGTGTGTGTACTTGGAACATTCCAACACAGCTTTTTATGAAAAAAACACATCCCAACCACTTGGACCCCACGGTGCCCCATCTGAATTATCCATGGTTTATCCCAAAACTGAGTTAGAAACACGAAGCAATCATCCAATCATCATTTGGTTCCAGTAGATCCAAGTTTTCCCCAAGTATTGTGGCAGGTTCCCACGGTGAAGATGGTCACGGGCCTGCCGCCCTACCTGGGAATGATGTGCCGAAGTCGCAGTTGGAAGCCATTCCTTGGGGATGATCAGGGGGGATGGCTTGAAACCAGGAGGAAAAAAACCGAAACACCCCGCAGAAATTGTGTTTTTTTTTTGTTTGGTGGGGATTTATAGATGTTCGGGAGCTTTTGGGGGGTGGTTCACATGAACGTGGAATGGGATTAATATATTAATCATTAATCAATATCCTGTAACCATGGGATGCATTGGATGTTAGGGACGCCCAATGTTGGCACGTTTTTGGTGTAGACGGTGTAGACGGTGCAGGCGCCGTAGACGGTGTGGACCAGATATGTATAAACTGGTTATCATTCAATATCATTCAATATCATTGAATACCATGCAATATAATTCAATATAATTCAATATCATTCAATATCATTCAATATCATTCAGTATCATTCAATATCATGCAATATCATTCAATATCATTCAATACCATTCAATACCATTCAATATCATTGAACACCATGCAATACCATGCAATATCATTCAATATCATTCGTTCGATCATTCATTTCCTTTGGCGGTACAGTTGTACACACGAGATTGTAGTGGAGGGGTCAATTTTGATGAGCCCCAAAAATGCAATGATCTGGTCGCTCGATTCCAATAGTTTGGGGATAAAAGAATCCCCAGATAGATCCACGCCACGACGCCTTGCAGAATGTCCCATATGCGAACCATGGTGCTGGAATATGAATCCCTACATTTACCCCAAAAATCAGCCAATAAATGCAGGTTTCTATATTCCAGCACCATGGTTCGCATCTGGGTAATGTCAAAAATGTTAGCGTTCACCCCGTTGGGTCAACGAGTCCCGTTGGGTTTTTCTCTACCCTCCAGCGGATCGGGCAGGATGGCGTTGGGCATTTTTTGGCTCGTCACGGAACTGGCGCTGGAAGAGGAAGCCACTGAAGGTGCGGCGGTTTAGCCCCCAAAAGGATGGCTGAAATGTGAATCTTGACTAAAGGTAGATTTTTTCGTGGGGATTTACACGGATTAACTGTTCTATCTTTTGAGGGATGACTATATGAATGAATCATCTTCACTAGATTTAAACTTAAACCGGGAGTTGCTTTTCTACCTTACATGTTCGTTTTTGGAGATTATTTACCTGTTAATGGAGATGTCAATTTAAGCTACGTCAGCTATGTTGGAATTAGCAGCTGTTAATTGGATTGGAATATGTCATATCTTTGCTACAACCTGTGACAGCTCCAGATGTTGATCCTTCAGGTATCCGGACATGAAACATGGCGGAACATCTCCCATGTTATAGCTGGTTGGTGATTTGGAACATAGCTTTTATTTTCCATTTCATATATGGGATGCCATCCTTCCCATTGACGAACTCATATTTTTCAGAGGGGTAGGTATACCACCAACCAGATATATCATATTATAATAACAATCCGTTAACCATCCATTGACCATCCATTAACCACCATTAACCACCATTAACCATTGTAAACCATAGATATGTGTCCCATATTTTCCCATTCAAACGTCGATTTCGTTTGGTAATTTCACAGCCATGTTTCACACCGGCCAGTGGCCTGCCCCGACCGGAGGTCATGGGAAGAGCGGTGTGCCTGCAGCTTTGCACAAGGCGTGCTGTTCTGAGGGCTCCAAGCCATAGATAAATGATAGCCACAAGGTGGTTTACTGTAGTTGTTTTTTTTAAAGCAATATATATAATATATATATATATATATCTATCTATCTATCTATCTATTAGTAATGTTATACCTCTGTGTTTACCCAATTTCCCCTTGTACCTGGAGTGCCTGGAAAAAGCCGGTTCTTAGGTGACGTTTTTGGTACCTCCACCGTGGCAAAGTCTTAGGTCGACCTCAGCAGTTTGCTGTTCTTCGTGGGAGTTCTGATGGCTGCGGCTGGGCGCTTTTTGGGAAGGAAAGGAAAACCAAGTGCCACGGGTGGCGGAGACGTGACATTTGACATAGACCGATAAAGGGGTATGGCTGCCGCACCCAAAAAGGATCTGTCTCAAGATCACTGGATTTCGTGTTAGCCCCTATGTATCAAGTGACGAAGGGTCCTATGGTGGACCACTTTAGCTGGCCTCCATGGTTGGAAGCATGAAGGAATTCAGCAATGGATTTCCATTGGCATGTTGGTTTGCCAAACTAAATATGTTGAGAATGCACATATGGTAAGTAGGTCCTGAACTTGAATCCCCTTGTTTGATAGGCTCAGTCCCTATTTCATGGCCCAAACATGCTCAACGTCTTTGTCCTGACCTTGGTTAGGACCGCTAGGACACCTGTACTGCATGATCTGCATGTTTCATGGGTTCAGAAGAGCAAAAGTCCATGGTGTCCTGCAATGTGTTCTGTATAGTTCTATATATATATATTATATATATATATTTACAGTATATAATTATATATACATATATATGCATATCCATCAATTGCTTGTCGCATTAGTTTCTAGTTCCATCATCTTCAGCGCCTGCGGATCCCGGCCTGGGCCTCTTGGCCTCGAGGTCTCGACTTTGGACTCTGCCGGGGTCTTGGAGCGCTATGCCCGCTTCATGCAGACGGTGACCGGCGGCAACGCCACGACCCTTGCGGCGTTGCTGGGTGGGGGCCCCCAATGGGCCCTGGGGATGCCGATGCCGGGGAAGACTTGAAGCAATCGCATAGGGGGGGATTTAAGCAACACACATAGTGATATAATGGTGATATCATGGTGATATAATGGTGATATAATGGTGATATATTGATGATATATTGATGATATATATATATATATAACTCTCTCTCTCTCTATATATATATATACATAATTATATATATATAATCTCAATTTATATAAGTTTGTTTGATTATGAATATTATGAATATCGTCACTTTTGATCAACAAGATGATCAAGCTGAGCTGCCTCCAACTCATCAATCACCAAATTCACCTTTGTCGTCTTCCCTGGTGTTCGACTTCTTGAGCTCGCACACATGAAATCAATCAAGGAAGTGCGGGAGCTGACGAAGTCCGAGCATTTTGCATGGGCTTTAGTTCAAACGAGGCACAACATTCCTTGAGGAGTTGAACACCAACATTCACGAGTGGCGCGCTGCAAAAAATGAGTGTCGTGTACAGTTGTATAGTGTTTGATTAAAATAGATTGGCCAAGGCCAAGATAACACAAAATTGGACACCGGGAAATTCGGGGAACATATGGGGACCTACACTAAACATGAATCCGTGGGCAAGATATTGTTGTTTCACGGATGTTTTACCCCAAATGTTGAGCATCCAAAGAAAGCGGTTTGACATGATTTGACCACTGGCTAGATAGATAGGTAGATAGACAGATCGATAGATACTGGTTGGTGGTTTGGAACATTTTTTTATTTTCCCATATATTGAGAATAATAATCCCAACTGACTTTCAGATTTATTTTTTCAGAGGGGTTGAAACCACCAACCAGGATAGATAGACCGATAGATAGATAGATCTCATGGATGTGTTTTTGTTGTCTATAAATATGTGCGTTTCCCGCAAATGACAGTTTTAGGGATGATTTACAGACAATCCCGGCGCCGGGATGACATGAGGATTCGATGTTTTTCAGGTCGTTTTTTTGAGGTTTCGGGATGGAAAACTGCCCAGGAATCGAAAATCAGGAAGTTGGCACCCTCTGGATATGTCAAAATAGCTATTGAAGCCATGGCCCATAGAAATAGTTGATTTACCATGATTTACCCATTAATAGCATGGTGATTTTCCAGTTCGCTATGTAAACGTTTAGCCAGAGGGTATTTCCACTTTGGGATTTCACCATGGTTTTTGGATGTTGGTTAATGCTGGTTAATGGCAATCGGGTAGTTCAGGAATGTTCGGGATGTAACTTCAAGCAATGCCATTACGAATCTTCACCGTTTCACAACGAAAAGATCATTTAGGGTGTCTTTGCTGGAAGATTCACCTGGAAGAAGATTCACCTGAAAACGTGTTCTCGAATCTTCTCCATTTTTCTTCGGCCACATTTACTAAATATTCAATGATTTCCTGAAGGTCTGAAACCATCATTCACCTTGAAAGTGAAGAAAAAATGATTAAGTGTTCCATTATATATTATATGTCCCATAATTCACCCAGAAAGTCTTGTCCATGATTTTCCGGGAACATAACACCGTCACGGGGTCAGAAACCAATATCTTCCGGTTTCGAAACGCTGCAGGTGTTTCCTCCGCGGTGGTGGACAATGTGCCTTTGGTGCAGGTGGGCTTCGCCCGATACTAACGCCAGGCCCTGGCCCAATGTTCAAGCCTTCGGATGTCCCAGTTCAAACAAAACTGAAAATGATATATACCCTCTGGTAAACTAACATAGCTATTGAAAATGGCCATTTATAGTGGATTTACCCATTAAAAATGATGATTTTCCATAGCTATGTTAAATTACCAGAGGGTAAATACACAAAAAACACAACGTTGTATTATGTTGTTAATTCTATACTGATCTATACTGATCTATAAGAAATCCTGCACCAGTTGATAAGTTGATAATTACGTGCGTTATCTCGTTATTGTTTAGAGTGTCAACATGTTTCAACCATCCTTTTGGTGGTGCAGGAGTTCGCAACCATCCACTGTATGTTGTTTTCAGATGTGGTTTTTCAATGTTTTTCAGTACTTCTTGAAGAAGATCACAATCCTTCAATGCGGTTCGATTCTTCATCCAAACCTACTTCTTCGTCAACATCTCAATGTTCATTGGTCGCAGCCTCCTCCCTGGAAAATTGCGCTGTCTTTCTAGAGATTCAACCCACTTTTCAGAGAGAAACCAACCTAAAACATCATAAAACCACAGTACAAGTTACCCATATATACTGGTTGGTGGTTTGGAACATTTTTGTTGTTTTCCCATATATTGGGAATTTCATCATCCCAACTGACGAAGTCATATTGTTCAGAGGGGTAGGCTCAACCACCAACCAGTATAGTTACAGGCACCAACGGTTGATGGTACCAACGGTTGATAATGTTTAAATATTGATTAACTGATTAACTGATTAACCATTTATTATGGTTGTTGGTGGTTAACCAACCAGACACTGTCACGGCCTTTCTGCACGTTTCAGGCCTCCATTGAGATGTTCGATGAGCCCATGGACGCCCCGCTGTGGCAACTGGTGGCCCTCGCCGCGGGCACTGGGGGATCCATGTTAGCGGTGGGAAGCGTGGCAGGCGCGCGCCCGTGGACCGTGGAGCGCTGGGAAAAGCTTGGGAAAAGGCTGGGAAAACAGATTTCGTTGATGATTTCTTTAGCCCCAAAAAAGGATACAAATTGAAAAATCCAATTAAAATGGTGATCATGTTCTTTTCTTCTTTCTTAGGGGTTACTATAATCATTTGTTTTTGTTTATATCATACATATACATATATGGGGTTTATGATGTAGATATATCTATACACATTATATCAGTTCATATTGCTGGTACGAAATAAGCGATGGGATGTGTGATGGTGTATAATCATGATACTGTGGATGGTTGCGAAATCCGAATCACCAGTTGAAAACGGTGGTTGATCCCATTATTTCCAGGGAACCATCCTTTTGGTAGTGCAGGATTGGTTGGTTGTGGTCATGGGTTGATGACGGAATGCGGCCAAATTTTAAGATTTGGATCCCCTGGATTTCAGGTGTGACCCTTATGGGCTTGGAGGGCGTGGCTTGGTGAATGAACTTGTCCTTGGGGGGCTATGCGTGGCGGCAGGAACATCATCATCATCATCATCATCACCAAGGTCATGAAAGTCATCAAAGTCATCAAAATCATGAGAGGTCAAATATGATCTATACATATTTGATACTGATATCTACAGCATTTACCGACTTCCATTGGTTGCTGAATTGCTGTATTTTTTTCCAAAAGGTGACCCGTTACGGGAGCCCCGTTACGGACTGGATGACTCTGAGGTTGGATTCCTATGGTACACCAAAAACATCAGCCCTTGGGCACTGCTGGGCTTTGCCTTGGCCCTGGGAACCTATCAGCCATCCAGCTGCACAAGCGGGCGCAAGCCCTCCAAAGCCGCAATCTCTAATTGATGTATGATGTATGAGACTTTTGGGGGGAGATTGTGTTTTTAACAGCCCAGTATCTGAGTTGCTGATGCTTGGATTTTCCAGCCACTTGTCATGGTTTCTTTCACGCAGATGCAAGAGGAGTGCTGTCCGGATGTGCAAGAGTGACTGAAGACGTTGGACATTGTAGCAGTGCACTTGACCATTCTGTAGGTCCGCAATTTCTGACCTAGACTCACATGTGCCATAGTCGAAAGTTGGATTAATTATGTACCATTTGGTTATTTAACATAGCCGTGGAAAATCACATTTTTTAATAAGTAGACCATCTATAAATGGACCATTTTCCATGGCTATGTTAAACAACCAGATGGTGTGTATATATATATATAAATCTCCAATGATGGTGGTATGAACGTTTTCCACCATTTTCCATGATCAAATTTACACATTTATTAGGTTACGAAATTCCAGGAGCACTGTTCCAATAAATTGCCACTGGAAATGCCGTCCAATAAATTGCCACTGGTCCAATAAATTTCCAATAGTGAATGACCAATTAGTGATCATCATTATATACTATAGTCATAATTCCTGATTGGTAATGATTACTATACCATCATTATAGTCTTGCCACTATTTTCACTATTGATTACTGATTGTCACTGTGGAAGACAAAAATTGCCAGATCCAATACAAAGTGGGGCCCCCAAACGTTATAAGTTGGTTTATAGCCCAATCTAACTATAGCTGGTTGGTGGTTTGGAACATTTTTTATTTTTCCATATATTGGGAATGTCATCATCCCAACTGACTTTCATATTCTTCAGATGAGTTGAAACCACCAACCAGATAGTTATAACTACCATAAATCCTATAGTTATTGTAGTTCTAAACCAACTTAGCTATCCAACGGGGGCCCCACTTTGTAGTGAATTCAAACCGCAGGTTGCAGCGCATGGTGATGGTGGATGGGAACTGACCGTTCGGAACGGTGACGAAATACACAAAGGGTTTAGGTTTACTGTAGAGCAGCCAAGCACAAAAAAGGACACTTAAAATCTTGCTAAACTAAAACGGTATTTTGATGGATGGATTGCTAATTATCTTAATTTCAAATTAATGGTAAATGTTGATTGATGAATTGTTATATTGATTATATTTGGTTGTGGCATTCGTTAGTAAAACATATCAATGCTCATTCAATATGCAGGTTCTGGTGTGCGGACTGTTTTTTTTCCACATGGTGCGTTTTTTTGCCTTCGCAACTTCGACTTCCTAAAGGAGTCAGTTGCGGATGCCTAGCACAAAATACTTTATGCACATCGTACATAGCTGACTAAGTGACCGTCGCATACAGCGACCGTTTTTTTTGGTGGCGACAGCAGGTTTCAGTGAAAGCTGTCGAACCTGTCGGCCACCGGGATGTATCGGGTTTCAGATGAACAGCAGTTGATCTATACCTCGGTGTTTCTCATCGCAACATATCTCATATAGAAATTCTCACATAGAAAAGAGTTGGTTTGTCAACTTAATTTTGTTCTAGAGAATGCAGTGAACATCTCACAACAAAAGCAGTTGAGAAAATCTTAGGCAGCCAGTCAGACCAAAGCCTGATCCAAACCTATTTTTAGATATTTTGGGGTGTATTGCTGAGTGAAGATGTTAAAAGGGGGGGATCTGTGCGAAAATACTTGCAGTCCTCGTGATGCTTGCTCTGGAAAGTACCCCACAGTTGGAACCCAAGCTGCTGACCCATGTTTGTTCAGATACATCTTCGTTCGATAAGTCGGTGGTTTGGTTTTGTTTGTCATGCATAGGGAAACATGTGAAGCCCAGCTAAACTCGATGCATGAAGACACCGATGCCATACAGTCGTTGCGGTGTCCTCTATATGTACAGTCACAGCTTAAACTGGTCACTGAGTCTTGCCTCAGCCGCTCAAGAGTAACCAGTCTGGAATCAACTTTTGGATGCTTTTGGGCTAGATATGGCTTTGGTGAACAATGTGGTACATACACCAAAAATTGCAATTTTGGTAGGGGAAATGATGATAGACCACTGGAGCTTAGGGGTAATTACCTGCTTTCAGACACAGCCATGATGGTGATATCGCATGCAGATGTGGTGAGAGAATGCTTGATCAGTGAAGACCCCCCCAAACCCATGCTGTGTTGGGTTTCCCTCATCCAAATGAAGCTTCAGGGTGCTCCACCTCAAGTTTTTGGTTTATACAAGCCTTGACCTGTGCTCACTGTGAATGTTTCATATCTATTGTACCAGGTTTACGATATGTCTAGGTTTTCTATGAAATGTTCAGTCAGTGTTTGTTCGTCATGCAGTGGCTATATCAGCCACATGTTTCTTGTGAAAAAGTGTTTTTTTCGACGATTGGCTTCGCGGCTTTTTCTGCTTCAGTGCTGCGGGGTTTTGGGCCGCCTGACATGCTCCTCAGCAATACCTTGGGTGTTGCGCTAGAGTGCCTATAGGCAGCCTAGGCAACCTTGACATCGCATGGTGATAAACCCATGTTTGATCAACGTCCCGGTGGTCATGGAATCCTTGGGTGATTCACCTGTGATCGTTTTCTATTCATGTCCCATAATGAGTAAACCCATGTAAACCTCCAGAAACCAGGCTGGTTGGTGGTTTGGAACATTTTTTATTTTTCCATATATTGGAAATAATAATCCCAACTGACAACCACCAAGTAGCAGGTTTTAGTGTTGAATCTACTCATTTTGGTGGGATCAACGAATGGCTTGCAAAAGCCAAGGCCTGGTTATGGCTTCAGCAGCTGTCTCTTGGCGGAAACTCGGGCTGGGAACACAGCTGCCCATGCGTTGCCCCCGAAGCAGTCGGCCCTTGGTCTCTTAGCCTTGGAAATTTCAGTGGGCAATCCATACGGAGGACTCATCCAAGATACCCATGCCAACCTATCCAGGTGCCAAGCTGGATGGGTTGGGGCTATAATTTTGGTCAAAAAGTGACCCCCAAAAAGATAGAACATACATCGTTCTCCCATATTTCACCAATATGTTAAGAGGATTTCATGGTATTTCACTAGTTTTGTTGGTGGATGACTATACTCTCACAGAGAGACAGTCCGCCAGGGCCGCCAGGGCAGCTTCCCTGGCGCTCAAAGCCAAGGCGTGGGGACAACTGGGAACAGAAGCTCGAAATCAGAATGATCAGAATGGTTTTCCTGTGGGTAAAACAATGTCATAAACAACCCATGAATGTCATAAGTCATAAACAAGCCATGATTGGGAATGGTAAGTTTATACCACATAAAAATATGGATGGATGACTGGGTATGGTAAAGTTTATGGCATGGCGATAAACCCACATGAATTAACCACTCAATTGTATCAACCATGATTTATATAAAATTTATAACCATCATTATACCATTATTTGGAGCTTCAAATCTGATGTTGAGATATTTTGAGGCTCTTTGTTTCATGGATGTCCGAGGCTGACCTTGCGAAAACAAGGAAAGAAATTGGGAGCAGACCATTGCCATAGCTGGGCCTAGTGTTGCGGGATGATCATGGATCTGTTGTTTAATGTTTCGACAGTCCAGGTGGGCCCAATGGCTCAAGAGGGCGGGCGGGTGATGCACCAAAAAAAGAAAACACGTTTGGACACATGGCCATGCTCTCGACATTTTTCTGTAGGAATCTCAGTTGCGTTGACTTGTACTTCGCAGGGGTTTTTCACACTGGCTGTTTTTTTTAGCAGAAAAAAATGTGGCCCCACAGTGGCCCCATCCTGATAGGGCAACAGTGATTCAGCGGCACTTTGTTCGTCCTGCATCTGGGTGAATCATACCGACCTCATTGCGACGTCACTGGAATGATGGGAATTGGATTCAGGGAATCATCTCCAGCCATGGCCATGGCCTGTGCGCAGACACTGCCATGGGGCGCTGTTCCCCGAGTCGTGCATCCCAGCCTTTGATAAGCTGAGCCCTAAGATGGAAGACATGAAGCATGGCGACCCTCCGGTGATCAAAGATGGCTTGCTGGAAAATCCACCTGCTACAATCATTGAATATCATTGATATATCTGAACGGCGCATGTTTTCATATGTTTTCCCATTAGAACCTCCATTTATGGTGGATTTCCCTTTGCAACGTTTGACCACTGAAGGGTAACACCTTACCAGATAGGTTCACCAAGAACAGGATCAGATTCAAAGATTGATATCAAATCTCTTCGCCACAGCCAAGCCTTGAACACATTGAACGTATTGAACTCGTTAGTCAAGAAGCTTGAGGATGACTATCAAAGCAAGCTAGTTCACATTTTGAGCTGCCATCTATCGTTGGGCCTTCTGCAAGTACTTCTCATCATTTCAGGAATGAACCCTAGAACACCAACTCACACATGCTGGCACAAGTGAATCCATTTGCTACGAACGTGTCCGGACCTGCAGCCATTCAACTGATGGGCAGAAACTGATTTCAACGGCAAGAATGATCAAGCAGATTCAGCCAGCAAAAGATCAGGTTAAATAAGTCACAGATGGGCTATAATATGTTCTTCCGCAAGATCACATCAACAATCATAAACATACAAAAACTGATTGGGTTGCTTTGGGGCTTTTTTTTTATTTTCCCAGATATTGGGAATTTCATCATCCCAACTGACGAAGTCCATCATTTTTCGGAGGTGTAGGTTGAAACCACCAACCACTTATAAGTTGGTTTATAAACCATTATAACCCCCATGAACTATATAATAATATAATAGTTATATCTACCATAAACCATAGAATTCAGCCACTTTTTTTAGGCAACCATGAATAGGCTTCATGTATGGTTCAGGGCTTGATCTACTTTTGGGTCGCTAAATGTTGGTCAAATCCACCATGACTCCATCAGCCTCGACGGTGCCAAGCCCATCGCTGCAGCTGGCGTTTACCTTGGTCCCTGCGGACAGCAGCTCGGAGGAATGGTACGGTACCTCCAATTACTGTAAATAAATGGGAAAACTATGGGAACAACTATTGGAAATAACTTTGAAACAACTATGAAACGACTATATACTATGAACTATGAAAAAAACTATGGGACACCTAGGTGAAAAGCATGGGAAAACTATGAAAAAACTGTGAAACAATTGAGGAAACTAACTGGAAAAACTATGGAACATATGGCCAATATTGCCAGCAAAGCAATTTGGGATCCCTCATCCCCAACTTTCACCTTACACGGGTTCCTCTTACCCATTATCAACATTGATCCAGTTAACATATCATTGGCCTTCCAGATTTTTTTCATAGCCTATTTGTTCGGGATTTTCCAGTAACCATCCATTTGGGAGTACCCCCGCGCATTTATGAAAACGCCTACCCTCTGGTGAACTAACATAGCAATGGAAAATCACCATTCTTAATGGGAAAATCCACTATAAATAGCCATTTTCCATTGCTATGTTAGTTCACCAGAGGGTATATCATCCAATTTCTAGCTTCACCACTGGAATCGCAAGTTCTTGAGGTCGCGACAGCCCAACGCCGTCGAAGACTTCAACGGCCTTGTTCCTCCGCTTTGAGGAGCTTCAGGCGGTGATCGATCACGTCGTGATCGATGATCCAGTCAGAATCAAGATATTCATGGTTTGCACGCCTGTAAATTGGCATGATGTTATTATATAAAATTTTCACGGTACTAGTGTCATGAAACGGATATATACATGTATATCATATATATAATATATAATTATATATCATATATATATATATATATTGTATATACTATTTGTTGTGGGATTTTATTGTTCTAATATGTTCTATGTTTTTGTGTTTTTACGTTTCTATGTTTTTTTTTGGCGATTCGTACTTGTTTTTCTTTTCGATGATCCATTCACCATTGACAGTGGTTGTTTTTGGGGACACAATGGTGGTATAGTGGAATGCTGAATGCTTGGGGGATCATCCCACTTATTTTTGGGATAACCCACTTGGGGCCCCATTCTATGATCCCACATATGTGCCAATTCCCTATAAATTACGTGGTTTTTGGGGAATGTTTAAATATTAGGAGGAAGGGATGATACATGTGTGTGTGTATGAGTGTGTGATGGATGTATGCTACGTTGTTTTTTCTCCTCCTAGGACGTTTGTATGTTTCGTTCAATGAATCGTGTAGTTATGTAGTAGTTATGTTAAGATCTTTCATGACTATTAGAAAAGATGCTCGCCTGAAGCCCGATTGTCACGACCTGCCTCATTTTGTAGGATTTGATGCATGCTGATTTTTGTTTGTGTTCATGGCCAACCTTGACGCATGAACCAAACATTGCTAGCATGATCTAGTGGTTTTCAACACATATGGTCCCTGGTTGGTGGTTTGGAACATTGTATATTTTCCATTATATATGGGATAATCCTTCCCATTGACTTTCATATTTTTCAGAGGGGTAGGTATACCACCAAGCAGGTCCCCATGAGTACTTCAGAGAGCCCCTTTTTTGAATGCCCTTTTTCGATTTCCGCGGAAATTCCAGAGTTCCAGAGTCAGGGTCTCCAACACCCCAACCTGGCGCGTTACTTGGAACTCTTGTTGGCACGTGATGGTTTGGTGCCGTGGCTGGAGGTTGGAACATGTTGGAACTGTGGCATCGAACTGGATGGATGTGTTTGTAATAGTTTGCGCAAATGGATGATATATATATATATATGTGTGTGTAATTAATGTATGTATGTATGTATGTAATGTAATGTAATGTAATGTAATGTAGTGTAGTGTAGTGTAGTGTAATGTAATGTAATGTATGTATGTAATGGTATGGTATGGTATGGTATGGTATCGTATGGTATGGTATGGTATGGTATGTAATGTAATGTCATGTAATGTACGACCCCGCCAAACAGAAAAGTGCGATGTACCTAAGACTGGCCATAGTTGGGTGCAAGATGTCATAGATTCAAGAAATTACTGAAGTAAACTGTAGCCAATGCACTTGCAATACTGAACCATGACCAAACACATTGTATTTTTAGTCGGTCTATATCACATAGCTTGGAGAAACCAGGGCAGATGTTAGGAATAAAGACACATTTGATAGGGACCATAGAATGGGGTGTTTAATATGAAGGAGGATGGGATTACATATGTCGTAATCGTTTGGTGGTGACTATATCTATATATCTATCTATATATATATATAAGTTCGTCATGGAACATCTCCATGTTAAATAGATAAATCATGAAACTAAATGGGCCATGGCTAAACGCTATAGCAAACGGAAAGAAATTTCCGAGAGTATCAATAACCATGATATGTCATGTGTTTGTTTGTCTCAGTGCATTGTTGATACAACCGGGATTACTTGGGTTGAACGGGTTGACCCCTGCAGTTCGAGCAGCCGCTGGTCTTATCTTGTTGCAATTGGGTGCCACCTTGTTGATGCGAAGATGCCAAGGTGAAGCATCTTGACCCTCTGGTTGTTTAACATAGCTACGGATCAATGGGATTTTCAGGATCCTAAATTGGAGGTACCTACCATATATAAGGCCTATATAAGGCCTATGTAAGGGAATATCCCAGCAAAATATGGCCTTATATGGTACAGTACCTCCATTTTAGGATCCTGGAATTCCCATTGATGACAATGCCCCATCTGTAGACGATTGATGATTCACCGTTCTTAAGAATCGTGATTTTAAGCATAGCTAATTTGATTTAAGCCGGAGGGTATATCCCATTAAGTGGCTTATAATTAGTTATAACCCCATTAAATCCCATGAAACCTCATTAAATCCCATGAAACCCCCATTAAAGTGACCAAAAAAACCCTTCAGCGTTGCGCTGCCCCTGCCCCCACTTTGCCAATACTTCGAGGTCTTCATCGCCAGCGAGCACAGCTCCTTGAGTTTGAAGGCAGCGTTGGCACATCAACCAGCTGGCAGCTTGGGCTGAAAATCTCCCAGCTGGGGACCTGGTTGGTGAAATTTTGCTGGGGATTGCTGATTCTGAGAATCCCCAGTCTGGCTAAGTCTAGCTGCCTTTTTGATGATCTATATCATCAAAAACGTGTACCCTCTGGTGAACTAACATAGCAATGGAAAATTGCTATTTATAGTGGATTTTCCCATTAAGAATGGTGATTTTCCATTTCCCCTGTGCACTGAGGTTTGCGGTGATCGTTGTGAGTGGCCGCGGCTGTATGCTCAAGTGTTTCGATGTGGCAGTCCTTTGCTGCAGGTGCCGCATGGGCGGTTGCGTTGGTTCGAGGGTCCGGTGAGGTCCCAGCGTGCCATTGCACGTGCCGCTGTGAAATTGCGGAACAGCCCAGTGGACTGGGGTGGGAATTGGTGAAGGCAATCATCGGGGTTTGCATTGGTATTCTCCTACAGCTGTTTGAGGTTGGATCCTTCCTGCTCCGGCGTATTTGGCCCGTGAATTTTTGCGGTGACCACGGAGTTAGGGAGAGTGATCAGCCACGACGAGTTGAAGAGGCGATTTCATCGACTGACGTGGAGCAACGGGCCAAGGAGCAGATCGCGGCCTTGAAGTCTAGACGTTGAGATGTCCTTGCAAGAAGGTACCCGGGTGTTTGTGTGCTATGATCTTCCACCCCCTGCTCTCTGGCATGAACGATACATTCTAGCTAGGTGCGCCCGTGGTCAAGGTTACCATATCGTCCTCACACCTGATCGAGACATATACCCTGAACAGATTTCATTGGAAAACTCTGATTTGTCTGGGTTTCGAATTGCGGTGGGGAACGCATTGCCCTTCGGATTGGATCACACCAACACTTATCGCATCAGGAATCTACCAATTGGGGCTGAAATGGATCAGTTTCGCATGGATGCCCGACACGCTGCCAATGCTATGGCAGTGATTCCTGGAGTGGCTGTTGCCCCGGTTGGGGGTGTGGCGGGTGCTGGTGTCGTTCAGGCAGGTGGCGGTGCTCAAGGAGATGAAGGTTCCAAATGGCTCGTGGTTGAGACTGATGGTGGCCGAGTCCGAGGGGATCCGGTCACTTTAGATGGGTCGGAAATCATTCATGGAGCTGTTGGATTGAAGTCACAGGATGGGAGGTTCTATGCTATTCGACAGGTGCCGACCGCCGAGGTTGAGAAGTACGCTGGGAAGGAAGCTGCTGCAGATGCCAGGTTGTTGGGCGTGGCCTTTCAGAACAAGTCGCGTGTTGAACGGCTTTGGCGAGATGTTGCAAGTGATATGACCCAGGAAAGCTTCGATGACTGGAATGTCCCTGGACCGAGAACTGCGCATTGGTGCTCGCAATTCCTGAATCGACGGAATGGCGGGCCCACTGAACATCACCGATATTGGGTTTCAAACAACGGATTGACCTCTGACATGTGGGGAGTCATGGAACACGAGAACCTCATGAAGGTGCTGGACAAAATGGGCAGGTTTGATGGGCTTGATTTGTCGAACATTGCAGCTGCAGAGATGGCGTTTAGGCGAGTTCAACTGATCGAGTACTTCTACTCGGACAAGGGGCCAGGGGGTGGGAAGGGATCTGGGAAGAACAAGGACAAGGACAAAAAGCATGAAGACTTGTCCTACAAATCCGAGGCTGCCATCTTCACTGGAACTCATCGTGAATTTGGAGATGTTATGGTAGCCCCAGATCTCCTCGAATATGTGTCGAAAGAAGTTGAACGAGATGCTGCCGTCCTCAAGCAGGTCCGCAAGGCCAGGGAAGAGAGGGCGGCGGCCAGTAAGTAGCCTTATTGCATCTGGGATCAGAGCACTGGACCTGATCCGTTTGGGGGCGCCTTTTCCTGGTTTGGCTGGGGCTACTTCCTTTCCTTCTTCATCGTTTTTGACTATGACTCGTGAGACCGGCTCTGACCGCAGACAACGGGGAATTTTTCCGCTCCCCATTCCATCTGTGAGAGCTGAGCCAAGCAGTGATTTTTCTAGGGCCACTCGTCGGAAGCATTTTGAGCACAGGCATGCTGATAATTGGGTCCAAGGCATGGTTTGCACGTTGAACAGTATGTATGCTGGTTCTGAATTCGTGGCACAAAGTTTTGAGTCGCCTTTTAAAGCCAATCTGTCTCAACAACTTGTTTTAGATAGGCTTAAGGACTCTGTTAATCAACTGGGTAAGCCGCCTAGTGATGTGAATGGTCGGGGAGCTTTGTTGGAGCTCCAGGCCGGTTTGGGCTACGCAGGTGAATCTTTGCCTGCCAGCTTGGCTGGGTATTCGAGAGACCTTGTGTCTCTGCCTGAGGTTGGTGGTGTCCCTTCTTCTTTGGATAACATCTTTGGTTCTCAGGCTCCTTTAATTTTGGATACCTTGCGCCATAAGCTTTTATCCCCGGGGGTTGCGAAAGCCAGGGTTGTAGATAGTGAGCTGCAGCGGCCGTACGTTGATCCGATTTTGCTTCATCAGAAAGCTGTGTATGCCGATTTCATCCAACGGCTATTTCACTCGAATCTGGTGGAGTTTCGTCTGAAGGCTCGGGAAAGTGTGGGAGTATTTTTTGTGTGGAAGAAGTCGGGGAGACAACGCATGGTGATTGATGCTCGGAAGTCCAATTTATGGTTTGATACACCCCATAAGGTTTCTTTGGCAACTGGAAGTGCTTTTGCTCGGATTCAAGTTGATGATGGTCCACCCGTCCAAGTGGGCGGAGTGGATATCAGTGACGCGTTTTACCGTATCGAACTTCCTTCTGAATTCAGAGATCTTTTCGCGCTCCCACCGCTCTCTGCGAGGGCGTTGGGTCTGACTGCTCTGGAGGGGCAGGCCATTCCTGGAGGCCAACTTATTTTTCCTTGTGTCCGGGTTGTACCAATGGGTTGGAGCCATGCACTTTGGTTATGCCAACGTTGTCACGAAGTTGCAGTTGATTCTTTGAAACATATTCCCCCATCTTTAAGGTTCACGGATGCTGCACCAATCCCACCGATGCAGCCATTCATTCACACGGAGTACGTTGATAATTTCATTGCACTGTCACAGGACACTGCACTGGTAAGTCAACTAGCTGCTTCTGTGGGGGATGAGCTCAATCGAAGGGGTCTTCCTACACATCCTGTCGAAGTATGTCAAGACACATTGGGATGGCATTTCAGTGAAAACCGACCCCAAGTCGAGATGAATCCTCGCAGGTTGTGGAAGCTGAGATTTGCCATTCTGCAGCTGATTGAGGACGGCTGGGGCTCGGGGCGATTGGTGGAAAAGATTGTGGGGCACATCACCTTTGCTGCTCTTCTTCGCAGAGAAATCCTTTCATGTTTGCAAGCTGTCTATGTTTACATTCGGAAGAGCTATCATGTTCACAGTCGTCTTTGGCCTGAAGTCAAGCGAGAATTGCGATGGGTTGCAAGTCTCCTTCCTCTCATTCAAAGGGATCTTTCTGCTGGTTGGGGTGATTATGTTCATGCAACTGATGCATCGCATTGGGGCCGAGGAGTTGCCCGCGCGGCCGTTCCCGCTGACATGATGAGGCACGAGTCGAAGTGGCATGATAGGTGGAGGTTTTCACGGGCTAGTGAGCATGATCTGCAATCTAGATTAGTCGAAGGTGCCAAAGGTGCTGAGGACATCTTAGAGTTTGAGAGGGACCAACTGCAACATGTGGGTGAACCCATTGATGAACTTTCTCCCGAATTTCTTGACAGAGAATGGACTCGGGTGGAGAGCAATGCTTGGAGCCGTCGAGAGCCCATCCCGGTCTTGGAAGGTCGGGCACTCGTTTGGCTGGTGCAGCATCTGGCCCGGTCCCAAGCAAACCATGGGAAGAGACATCTCATCATCTCAGATAGTATGACGTCCATCTTAGCTTTAAGTAAAGGTAGAGGTCATGCCAAATCGATGAACCGAGTTTGTCGACAGATTGCTGCATTAAGTCTTTCTTGTGGTCTTCAACTTCATTATCGCTGGGTTGCATCTGAACTTAATCCTGCAGACTCACCCTCAAGAAATAGGCCGGTTGACTTTGATTTCCATGACTGTCTTTCAAAATTTGTAGCTTCCAATGTTGCGACGGGCGGTCAAGCTTGGAGACGACAAGCACTGCGGTTCTATGAACAGAAAGTCGGGATCGCTGGCGGCCAGCAGCCTTGGGAAGCAGAGCCTGAAGACACAATTGGATCAGAAGTCTGTCCGGAAGCAGCAGAAGAGCATCAATCGGACTACCAAACATGGTCCGGCTCCGAGGGTGGATCACAGGAACATGGACAACTTGACATTCCTCGAGACCAAGAATGTATCCAAGAGTCGAAACCTGTCATACCAGAAGGCTTGGGAAGAGTTCCAGACATTTGTGAGCAGAGAGCACATCAAGACCTCCACGTTGATGCAACTAGATGCTGCCGCTGCGTGGTGGATAGACCAGCTGTTTTTTGCCGGAGAAGATGTCGCAACGGTCATGACTTTCATGGCATCGGTGCTCCAACACAGGAGCGACGTTGTCAAGATGGCGTCAATGACACGAGCCATGAGATCAATGAAGGGCTTCAAGAAGATGGCGCCAGGCCAGAGCCGTGTGCCGCTCCCATTTCCAATGTTGTCAAGAATCGTGGAACAAATCGCCAAGGACCCGGACAACCGAATGGTTTGCGTGTGGTTGCTCATGACATGGCACATTGTCGGGAGACCGGGCGAGATGTTGAAACTTCAATGGCAGCATGTGGTCGCACCAAATCGCATCAATCCTTTCTGGTCAGTGATCACCTCCCCATCCTCGACCGAGGAAGGGTGTCATCAACCATCAAAGATCGGAGAGATGGACGAGAGTGTGACCTTGGACATGGAATTCCTGCAGTGGATGAAGCCCCTCCTGAAGACTCTCAAGCAAAGACACCTTCCCGAAGATCCAGTCTTCGACTTTCACCTCACAAAAGCCAACAAGCTCTTCAATATAGCACTGGATCAACTAGATTTCCGCCGACATGGAATCCAGTGTCCCTATCAGATCAGGCACGGGGCAGCTTCGACCGAAGTGCTTTGCAGGAAGCAGCCCCTCGAGCAAGTGATGAAGAAGGGCAGGTGGCGGACGTTGGTGTCAGTGAGGAGGTACGAGCAGGGAGGCAGACTCGCACAGGTTTTCGGGTTGCTTTCCGAAACGGAACAGAACAGATGCTTAAAAGCCGAAAGAAATTCAGCCCAGCTCTTGCTCCGCTCTTTTGGATGCAACGTTCCCCACCTGCATCGCTTTTCTTGGAACTCTTTGCAGGTGGAGGGGGCATCTCGAAAGCGGTCAAGAAAGTCATGAAAGGCAAAGTCACTGTGGTTACCATAGATATCCTTCAGAGCACTGTGCATGACCTTGAGAAAAAGAGTTTGCAATCCTTCATTGTTGACTTGATCGAACGGGGCTTGGTAGTGGGAGTGTGGATGGGTACACCATGCACCAGCTGGAGTCGGGCTCGTCGCCATGATGGGAAAGGGCCACCTCCGCTTAGGTCCGATGAGCATCTATGGGGCCTTGCAGGTCTCAACCTCAAAGACCAGGCTCGGGTGAAGTCCGGAAACAACCACCTGCTCTTTTCTCTTCGGGTGTTTAGACTTTGTCATCGTATGGGTATCCCGGTGACCATCGAGAATCCCTCTACCTCTCGCATGTGGCTGGTTAGACAGATCCAACAACTTTGTTCTTGTTCTGGGGTGAAGTGGCTCACAACAGACTACTGCCAAGACGGAAAGCCTTGGCGGAAACGAACAGGGCTTCTCACCTCAGGTGTAGATCTTGCGCTGGCTGTTCGCAAGTGTGAGTCTAAGAACGGAGTTTGCAGTTTTTCTGGTCGTAAACATGTGCAATTAGTAGGGCAATGCAATGGGCAGTTCCGTACATTAGCTGCACAACCTTATCCTCATGGGCTTTGCAGAAGGGTTGCCATCGCGTATTCGCATGTTATTTTTGACTATTGGGCACGGCCTTTGATGAGCATGATTGGCTTCACCTCGTAGCTTCTTCTTCCAATCATTTCTCTCGCATTGCTCCTTTTCATCTCGGCCAGACACATCATGGGTTCCGGGTGCAACACATTTAGATTGGCTGAATCTGCTGTCACTTTTTGAAGACAGCAGTGATGTTTTTCGAAGTGCGCACCTCGATATAGATCGTCACTGGCCACGGTGAAAAAGATTGGAGCATTTCCCCTGTGCACTGAGGTTTGCGGTGATCGTTGTGAGTGGCCGCGGCTGTATGCTCAAGTGTTCCCCCCCTGGCTTTCGCTCCCCCCCGATTTTAAGCTGGCTGAATCTGCTGTCACTTTTTGAAGACAGCAGTGATGTTTTTCGAAGTGCGCACCTCGATATAGATCGTCACTGGCCACGGTGAAAAAGATTGGAGCATTGCTATGTTAGTTCACCAGAGGGTATTTGAAACTGTTCAAGTATGTCAAGTGCAGATCATGAAAACTTATATTTGCCCCGCATCTAAAGGTTTGCGTTCTACCTGGGTGTGCAGTTGGGGTGATTTGTTGCGTTTGGATATGGTGATTTCACCCCAGAAGTTGGGCAGAAAGGTAGGCTATGGCTATCTATGACTGAAAGCTTCTACAGGTAGGTTACTTAACTATGTTTGGCGGATATAAGTGTAGCTGTGGTATATATATATATATAACCCCAAGAAGCTAGGATTTTATCATATTCTATCCCCAAGTAGCAAGCTATGTCCCATGGGTGGTTTGGGGCGGTGCTGAGGTTTCTCGAGCCAAAAGGCCCTCCAGATCAGCGCTGCTGAGACGTGATTTTTGGGTGCGGGGACGAGAAAATTCGCAGAAACCAATTGGTTGGGTACCTGAGAAAAGCAAGTTCAAAACCAGTGAAAAAACATCAATTGGATATCCTGACTATCCCAAAATGTGGTTGGGTAAAGCCTGAACATGACCAGTTTGCTGTTTTAGCTCTTTTCTGGACCTGATCTATCATAATGATCCACGCTTCACGGACAGTTGTTTGCCATCATGTTTCAAGCTTCGGCATCAAAATCCCAGTGCAGGAGGGAACATTTCCCAGAACCTCTATAAATGATGCAACAATGGTAAAAACCGTAGTTTCATCTAGTTTCCGAACTTATTCCCCTCAAAAACCATTGATAAAACACCATCAAAAGACCCGAAAATTACCAGCTAAGGCTCAGCTGGTACGCGGCCTGTGCTACTTGAATTCCAGAGGTTTGGTGCACACGCGCTTAGATTCCACGACGGTGATATTCCAGGCCACTGGGACCTCCTTGGGCTGTGGACTGCAGGGCAATGGGTTCAGCAGGCAGGGTACATGAAACCCATGGCTTTTACTCCAGAACGATGGCAATTTACAGTATATATATCAGTAGATGTTTTTTTTTTAATAGGTTTTCACTTCAAGCAATTTTCAACCAATCCAGGTAGACCATGTTAAAAGAGAAAGGATTTCCGTACTGGCCGACTGTAGGCCCCCTGTCTCAGTCGCGTTTCTCCCCCAGGAGAAGGTGACGGAGCAGCATTGTGATGTTCTGCTGACGGGTCATGGTAGCCCGGAAAAAGTGCATCGGTGACGGGACCAGGTCATCACCCTTCCAATGTCAGGACGATGTCCAGAAAAAAGTTCCATGAACTTGAAATGATTACAGTAAGCCATGTTGAAGCCCAATTAGCTTGACAATGGGCTAAGACCTACCAAACTAAGAGGAAATTTGGGCGGTTTTTCCTTCCACAGATCTAATATTTCTCGATCGTTCTGTTCAGGATGCTGGATGCATAGTTGGATACAAACACCAACTCTCAACTGACCAAAGCACCCAAAAAAGGACTCAATGACACATGTTCCACTGACCAGGATTTGTTTTATCCATTCATGATGAAAGAAGCCAAAAAAAAAAGTTGCTTGAAGGCTTCAATGTTTTTCTATTTCTACCCAGCGTGTTTCCCTACATTTTGCCATTTGAACCCAATTTCAGGATGGTTAAACCATGTAAATCTCCAACGGTTGATGGTTTTTACCAGCATTTTGCAAGCATTCATGCTGGTCAGTCAGCCTCCAAAATCAGAATGTTGGTTGATGTCAATCCATTTGAATCAATTTCAATCCATATATGTGTGTGTGTGTTTGTTTTTCAGGTTAAAATGAAAAATACCACGATTCTCCCAGCATTTTCCCCTGTTTCCCAGGCCTGGGGCAGCTCCTGGGCTACGGTCAGCTGGCGCAGAGTCCGCTGACGCCGTCGGACCCGTGCTGTTTGGCGCCCGAAGTGGCAGGCTCCATGGGGAAAATGTGATGAGATCCATGCTTTTTCAAAAGGCTTGAATCTGGTTGATCTATGGTTAATCTATGGTTAATCTATGGTTAATCTATGGCTGATCTATGGTTAATCTATGGTTAATAATGGGAATAACAATATAATCAATATATCTGGCTTAAGTGAACTACACCCCCTTATTTTACCGTGGAAGTCAGGATGGAAAAACCTGTCGGTTTACATGGAAGTCGTTTACGTCCCATTCCTGGGGAAAAAGTGAAACTGGGCTCCCGGACCAGAAAATATAAAAAACTGACCGTAAATCACTTACATGGAAGTAGCTTGAAGGAGCATGTTCAACATGGAAGTTGGAAAACTGAGACTAAAAACGCTTACGTGGAAGTAACTTGAAGGTCCAAACATCAGGTTGGCAATTTCTATGTTAACATGTTCTCCCCTCATGTTGAATACATCCTTCTAGGGCGATCCCTAAAACCCCCAGACTGACCGCCACATCATGTTTTTTTCTTCTTTGCATCTATCTTCTCACCCCTGTCATGTCCGAGCAATTGAGGATGCAACCTTTCGAAATCAATGATGCCAAATTGGTGCTTATCATGGAAGTGTCAAAATACAACACTGTTTCTTTTTTGGTTGCATCCACCAATCTAGAGGTGAAACTTCTGCCCACGTGTGTAACGATTGGGAATGCACCTGGGAATGGCACCAGCAGATGGTTAACATGGAAGCCAGTGAAACACTAAGACTGAACCAATGTGTTACGTTGTAAGGTTGCATTCCCTCGTCAAAAGGATCCCTGTATGAAAGTAGAACAGAGAAAGAGACAGGCTTGCCGAGCTCTTAAACAACCAGAAATATGTTTGGAGGAAAACAATTCGAATAGTTACTCTTGTAAAGTTCAGTATTCAATTCGTAAACATAGTTAACATGGAAGCCATCAAGCCAGAGCTGCACGAGTTGGTTTGCTGACGCCTCAAAAACAAGACTGAATCTTTTCCATATCGAACATGTTTGCACCCATCTATGGCAACAAAAAACCCACCAGTTGAAAACGTAGAAGTCAGCAAACTTCTTACGAAGTGCCTTTTCTTCGGAAGGCTGTACCGATCCAAAACTGAAGTGAAGTGGGGTAAAGATCCTGAAAGCAGATTTCTTTGAACACCCAACCATTGATTTTTTACATGGAAGTTGCGATTCGCTTAATCTATTAGACAACTCAAGTTGGCTTCACACCCACTCTAGAAGGCAGTGTCTTGAAGCGCTTTCTCCAAGACTGCCACATACTTTTCATCGGGTTTGTTCTTCGAAAACGCGCTCCACCACTTCCACATTGCGTGGAGGGCCAAAAGGACTGCTTTTCTTTCCGATCTTAACGTAGCATTCCAAGAGGGAGCGCAATTAATTTCTCCATGCAAACCAAACCGGGCATGCCACTGCTGTGTGCTTTTGTGGTAAAACAGCCCGCAACCAGCGGAGGGGGGAGTATCTGTTAAGCCTTCGGCCTCCAGAATCTTATATGCCTCCCGTTCCCTGAACTCTGACGGCGGTTCACTGTGCGCATTCTTGTCAGAATGAAACACCCGGAAAACACACTCTGACATGCTGGGAGGTGCCAACATCTCATCATCGGAATCAAACTCTACAGCCGCACTTCCACGTAAAATAGGCTTCACTGGCTTGTCACTTCCTGCTGCAGGGGCAGGTGCTGGATCCTTCATGTTCTCGAAGCGGCTGATCTGACCTGAAAGAAAAAGGTGTACTACGTTAAACTATCAAGGCCATGTCGATCCACACAATGATAAGGATTGTACAGTATCCAACCACTAAACGTAGAAGTAACCAGTCTCTTAATTTTCCCATTCGTGTTGTCTAGCACTGACCAACCCCAAGCCTTCCAAACCCTGGGCATCGCCCGGAATGCTGTCGTCATCGTCCGTTTCGAAGTCGATGGAGCCAGCGGAATCATCCTGAGTACAAAGCATCTTTCATTTTATACCTGGTATTTACCGACCCTTGGTTTGATTTCGATTCCACGTTAAGATGTGCAAAGCATGTGATTCCCATACAGTACACAATTCAGTTTTAAGAAACAGTTCCTGTCCTCCTCCAGCTCATCTTGATGGAGCAGGTGCTTGTACCCATCGGTGAAAACATTGATTTTGGTGGTGGTCATGCCGTCCTCGAAGTGAAAGAGACGAACTTCTCTAAATTCGCCTCCCTCAGTGATTTTGAAAGCCAAGCTGACCTTGTGCAGGTCCAAACCAAGCTCAAAACGAAGACAAGCAATCCACGGCTTGGCAGTTGAGTTCTCCTTTTTGGGTTTGGGAATTCCATGTTCATCAGTAGTGAGGTAGGTTTTCATCCACTCACGAGTGGCCATTTGGCCGGTCCTTCGGTTGAAGACCATGTAAAGGTCCACGGCCTTTAGTTTTTCAAGGTCCTCCTTGGCCTTCACTGTTTTTGCCTTGGAACAGGTTGGGTCTTGCTCCAATTTCTCGTAGTAGTCCCTGCGTGCAACCTGATAGTCGTAGCAATGCTTGGTGGCGGTCTTTGCAATCCCATGGGCCAGTTCGTAGGGAAGAGCTTGAAACTGGCCAGACTTGTCCTGGAATGCGTCTGATAGATTCTTCTTAACATGGAACCCAAAAATGGAGCTGCAATGTGAGGACTTTCTCCAAGACAAATCACAGCCAAAGGATTGGGCATCCTTTATCCAACCCCTTAACATGGAAGCCAGGCCTTGATCTGCCATTGGTACACAGGGCACATCTGGGGCGTAGGTCTGAAAGTGCAACCTGTCAGAACCTGGGCTGGCTCCATCACCTTGTATGCCTCCTGATGTCCTTCTGCTGGAGTGAGATGCCGGTACGTTTCAAAGTGAGTGGCTTCAAAGTACCCAGTGATCACCCAAGCACTCTCAAACACCTTCGTGGGCATTTCATTCCATGCATCCAACGTCAAGCGCAAAATGTCAGCAAAAGGTTTGGCCTCCATGGCAACCTTGGTTTGTGACGAGATTTCCCACCATTTAACATGGAAGGCGAAACACATACAGGAAAAAAAGGGAGTGCAAACCCAATCATTTTTATAAATTATCTATATATATATATATATACAAATTATATGTACTACCGATGAAGAAAACCAGAGGTTTGCAAAAAAAAACAAAATGAATCTGTTTGGGAAGGTGCCTGACCACTGGCTTGGACGTCGAGTTCAGAGAATCCTGAGAAGGGACCCAACAGTGATTGTTGGTACTTCTACGTAAACACTCTCCATAGCAGAGATATTGTTGAAAACTAGGTCACGCCGTCCCCGGTGGCCTGTGGGTGGCGGCGACACTTTTTCATTCAGGCACACCACTTGAACAACTTTCCAAAGTCTTTCAACATTTGCTCTTTTATAAATTACAGTATCCATGTGAAACATGAATACGCCCTTACCCCACCCCACCACATCCCATATGTTACTTCAAGATGTTACTAACGTAGCATCCACAGCGTCTTGCACATGACTTCATCATGTCGTGTCAACGTAGTACCAAGGACGGGGGCGTCAGGACGTTGATACACCCCACCCCACCCCACCCCCACCCCACCCCATATATACACAAAACGCAAAATTGAGCTAAAACACACAGGTCACCCGGAACGGCGTAAGCAACTACTGGAAGAAAAGGACATCTCAAGTACAAATTGCGTGGTGTATACTTTTTGCCCACCCGCTTCTAAGTAAACAATTCTTCGTCCTTGGAATGAACAGGGGGAAGCATACACAAGACTTGGCTTTATTTGGATGAGTTTCGTTTTCGGTCTCGAAGGTCAAGCACTTGACCGGTGGAGGATAAGTCTTTGTGAGCAATGATGGAACGCAGGACGCTGTGGATTTGATCCACAGGTTGCCCATGCGTACTCCACCCTCCTGGTTGGAGCCGCGGTGGAGCAACGTTCATGGATTGGAACCACGTATGCCTCGGATTGCAAACAAACTGTCACCAGAACCATGCATACGCTGCATGGTACAAGGTTTGTCTGATAGAAACAAGTGAAAACTAATATAGACATAGACATATCCAGGTCATATCCATCATGTTGCATGCAGATATGCCAAAAGATCTAAAACGAGACATGTAAATCTATCACACAAAGTTAGTCAGCGATGCCCGGTTGTAAAGAGCCAATGACTCAGAACCGGAACCTTTGACCAAATCCTAAATGGGTATGTTGACGTCCGCTTCCATGTTAATTCCCTAAGAATCACCAATCCTATGTCAAGAATCTCATGTGGGGAAACAATATATAAACAAATAAGCCTGGGCCTAGGCACCGTCTCAACGCTTGTCCTTCAGTTTTTTTGAAACTTCCGGACCAGGCGTCGCATAGAAGTGCTCCCCTGTCTTTCAAGGAAAGTCCAAGCCTGCAATGGGATGAACGCTATCCCTGCTTCCATGTTAATGCCGCCTCGTGGCAATTTTGAATCTATGGTCGATAGTACAGTACAGTCCATACACACACATAGAAACAAAGCACTGACAAAAGGGCACTTGGTTTGACATATGACTTGGTTTCCACGTATACAAAACCACGTCTAAAAAGATTCACCTCAACAAATGCTGGATTGAAGCTAGGAAGCAAATCTCTCTGTTTGGCGAATGCAGCTCCCAGCAACTGCTCCATCATCTGAATCAACGTGTCCCCCGTCATGAAATGTGAAGAGGAACCGCTGGAGGTCACCATTGCGACCCCGGCAAACTCTCTGTTGAACTCTGCCATGGCCTCCGGCGCCATACTGCCTTCGGGTAAACAAAAAGCCAATGGTCCTCTGGTTCCAGTGCTCCAGCTTGTCGTCAATACCTGGGAGATGGACAGTTTCCATGTTAACTGGAAAAGCTCAAATGAAGACCTTAACGGTTCCGGATACCAAATGCATTGAGGATGCAAGCAATTATTTTTAGACTTACTGGATTTCGATGTGAATCCTTTTGAGTGAAATGGATGG